TACAACCTAGTTCCATGTTACTAAGATAGGAGACAAAAATAGGGAAAAAAACCTCCTCCCTAAAAAGCGCAAAACTAGAAACAGCTTTTCCTCTTAGCTGGCCATACCTAAAATTTATTTTCTTTAGCCAAATGTTTCACAGCCACACTTCAGAAATACACATTAAGGATGAGGTATGATGAAATGACCCAATACTGTATACTCTGTCACTTGTAGGGCTGCAGAATTTGAACTCACTGTCAAGAAAGGATTTTCTAACTTTAAATGATGGCGCTGCAACTTACATAGGTTGCCTATCAAATAATATCTGCTATTAGCTGGCTGGTTTTAGCGTGCTCAAGCTATTAATGTGTCAGATGATACTGGTGTTAATTTACAACTATATGGAATACAGAACTACCTCTTGTTTTCATTTGGCAAATGGTCATTCTGAGACAAGCATTTTCAACACTATATTATCTTTGAAGGGCAAGAAACACGTTGATAATATATTTTTATCTTGATTGACAAAGAATTAGTGCCGTAGCTCTGATGACTTTATCAGCGTTACTGAGACATATGTTTACAAAAACATGCCCAATGATACCCATACTTTGTCATCTTGAAACATAACTCTACCTTAAAATCTTTACTCCACACCTTCATTACTCTTTAGAATAATGTTATTCTTGCTAACAAATATTATGGCCCTTTAACAAAAAGAAAGGCTACACTATTTTAAGATCTTGCATGTTATTCTTTAATAATCAAGATCCAGCCATTGAGTTTTCCAGAGCAAAACACTGTAATTTTACATACAGTGAATTTCCATTACTGACAACTACGGGATTATTTTTACAAGCTGTACTTTTTTACTTTCCCCAGACACTATCAGAAGGTAAAAATTCACTGCCCAAATATCAGCGGAAATTAATTTTGTGACTAAAAGCCAAACCAAAACTACAAAAACCAGTGAAGCATAATGATCTGTCTACAACAAATAGGAAAATTGAAATGTATCTGTGATTCAGTGATTTGCTTGAACAGTGTCTGCCTTCACTTTACCCTTCCTCTACCTTCAGCTTTTTATAAATTTTCACCAGAACTAGACTGTGGCATGCAAGAACAGGCATGGCGCTGCAGTGTGTGAGATCGTTGTGCATTGGTTACAATATCTACTAGAGCCATGTGGTGGATTCTTTGTAAGCAACAGAAAGTCTGAGTTGGTGCATTCCCCACTAAAATTAAAAATAAACAGAATGTGTGTCTGTAATGTACACTGAAATAGCAAGGATAGAGATGGGAGAAAAGTGAGAGCAATATACCATTTAGAATAAAATTAGCCTTATGTGACATAAATACTGACCAATCAATAGAAAATAGTATCTGCCCAAATAAAAAAAGAGGTTAATATAGTCTGCTCCTGAAAACCACAGACTAATTTATTCACAAACAAGCAGTAACTTATACCGCTCCTGCCTGTGATTGCTGACCATGTCATTAATTAGATAACCTTAAGAATTCTCTTGTATTCAACTTATGGTTTTTATATTCAAAATAGAGACTTTGTGTATCTATATTCAAATTCCCTAATTACTAATTTTTCTTATCGGGGAAAAAAAAAATGTATGCATTGGGTGACTGATACACACGTTTATAGCTTGCCTGTGGTCGCTGAAGCTGTCTGTTGTAGGCACCTGCACTTCCCTCTTCCCTGCAGTTCTCACTGCAACCCTGGCTTACATAAGCAGCTAAAGATGCAAAAGGGAAGCAATATTTTCACATACTCTACAGATACCACCTACAGTGTCATTTACATTTTGCAATTTAAAATAAAAGTAAAATAAAAATAACATTTCTCTTTAAACTAAGAAGTTTACTTTTTAAAAGACTCATAAGAGGAAACACTGAAAGGCCTGACTCACTGGTCTAGTTTCTAACACTATTAATGAAGCTATAAAGTGCAAGGTAGCAGTGACAATATTTGAGGTACTAACATGTTCATCCAACACTGATTCTGTTTTTCTAAGGAGAGAGTTGCCATGCGAACGTGTAGATGCGACACAGCAAAAGCAGCTGCGCTGCAGCACTAGAAATCACAACTGGATGGATTTATGGTGCTGCACTACTACCATCTACGTAGTGTTTTATCTAAATAAAGGGGTTCGTTGTCCATTGATCTTTCTGGCAATGTTTGTACTTGTGCAAATCAAGCGCAAACCTTAAGAGGTTGGAACAGTAGTGCTTTAAGCGCATTTAAAATAGATTAAAACTATGACAAAATCTAAGACATAGAAAAATTAAGTTCCAAAGCAGATATCATTATCTTTCACTAGTTTCTTCTATCATGACAATTGGGAAGAAAAATGAGGAAGATTTTTGCATTAAGATATATTGAAGTAATTAGGCAGAATTTTACCAGGCAATGCAGCACGTTAATTAAAATAATTTTAATAATATACTAGCCTGCTAAATGACAACAGGAACCCAAGAGCATTCATACTGCTTTCTTCCACTAATCAATGGAATTAGCTTTAGTATCCTTCTATCTAATTATTGCTTTTTACAATCAATATCTACTTTATTAGATAGCATGGAAATGAAGAATAGATCAGAGTTCAAAGATTTCAAAAAACCTCTATGGTCTCCAAATATATATCTAGAAATAGTTGAGTTAAAATTGGCTGTGCATTATTACCCTCATTACTGTAATATTAATATTCATTCAGTATATTTTGCATTACTACTGCAAAATTTACAGAAGTATTTTTTGGATTAATTATTTCTTCACAAGCCAAGGTTGTTAGCTGTAATGAAGGAAAATACAGTGTGTCTATGGAAATCTATAGAAATGGATGCTATGTTTCCTGTTGTTTTCTGACTGGGCAAATGTAGTGAAATTTAATCTAAACTTGTCTGATACAAGGGAGAAATACACTTCGTGTTTTCTTAAGTGAGGCTTAAGCCTACCTGTTGAGTAATAGAAACAAGACCAACTCTTAGTCCTAGTTCTGAGGTGTCTGGTTCACAGGCTCAGTGAGGTCTCTCCATATTTACTAACTAGCATTTCAGCGCTGTACCAGGCATCTGTGTCACCAGATCAGTGTCACTGGATCAACAGCAAAAAAATGTAGATTTTCCATTAGTTTATTGTGTTCACACTAGTGAATAACATAGCTCTCAGAATTACAAAATCGTGGAAATTAGGGCTGGAATGCAGCCCTCTTTCTCCTCCTCAGTTCAAGTAAGGGTCAACTAAATCTGTTAATCTTGGTAAATACTTGCCTAGTCTGTGACTCAGGTACCTCAGTAGAAAGGTAGTATAATATCACCACACTGGCACTCTGGTAAAAATTACGTTTGAAGAGCTGGATTCAAGCAGAGTAGAGATTTCTTTGATTTACATCATCTGAGTATCCTACTTCTGCGGTACTTTCATCTTAAATTCACTGGTTGGGTACTATTCAGGGCTTGATTCACAATATTTTAGCCACAAAGCTGACACATAGAAAAAAACTGAAAATTCACAGATTAAATAGCTTCAGTTCTTCCTCCCCCCTGTTAGGCATCAGTACAGAAAGTGTCTTCTCACTGCTGACATTATAATGTACCAGAAAACTAGTCTGCACCCTCCCAAACCAAAGGTGTGGGCTTGCTCTGAATTGAATTGCTGCCAAAAAGCAGAAGTGAACATTAAAAAGTGCATAAATTACATAGTGCTCATATAGTTGGTAATGAAACACACTTCTTTTTTTGCCTCTCTTGCTGATCTGGATCTGGCTGAGACTAGCAGTGACTGAAAGTTGTTGGTATCTGGTGGCTAATACATGATCTCTGTCATGTTCCCATTGGGAAAGTGTCTGTATGCCAAAATCATTATTCAAAATTATACCTTGTTCTTTTACTTGTAATTATTCTGCCCAAAGCAGTGCAACAGCTGTCAGCCTTATTAACACGCAGGCCCAAGGCAGTTGGGGAACTGTACCTCCCATCTGGAGAACAGAACGCTTTAACCTTAGTAAGGCTGGTAGAGGGACACCCCTGGAAACTGAAAGGCTCTGTGTCTCAGAGCCCTTTAAAATCTGTTTTACTGTCGTCTTCTTTCTCAAGAATGAGTTTAAACACTCCTTCATTAGGTCTCTATACTACAGATCGATTTTCCAGCCATTTTAACCTGCATTTCAGGCCTATTTGAAACTTCTTCCCCTAAGTCTGCAAGAAATGACTGTTTAAAGCATACCAAAATGAAACATATAGAAACATACTTGTGTATTAATCCAAGGGCTGAATCTTTACATGCCTGGCTTTATCGAATGTTATTCTTTTCTTGCAAGTTGTATAACTCTGCTTTGCTCCCCATCAGGTCCCACTGACCCCCTCCCTTCTATTCCTGAGCATCTCCCAACCAGCAGCTGCTGGCGAATCACTCCCACCCTTCCCCTAGAGAGGATTTTGCATAATTATCCTTTTCATCTCTAAGCTCTAACTCTGTGACCTTTTTAACTTTTGGTAAGTGATTGCCAAAAGCATCACCTCGATAGTCCAGCCATTGTTCCCTTGAAGTTGTTTACTGAGATCTCATCTCTGACCATTGTTTAGTTTCCTGTTTGCTCTTCCTAACAGCTCCTTGGAGTTCAACACCCTTTACTCAGAGAGAATAACGTGAAACAGGTAAAGTGGAATACAATTATACCAACAAAAAAAGAGTAATCTTTTCTTTACTCTCCATCAATGATCACCAGGACTAATTCACATATGTAAATTATGTCGTGTTTAGAGAAGTAACAAGTAGGATGTGAGATGCAGAAGGGAAGTTGTGTACATGGATCTTTTGTCTCATGGTGCTTTGCTGGTAACTCCTCCGCAAGCTGACAAGCTGCTAATGAACAGGACACCCAGGCAGGTGCAGACACAAAACTGATGAAGCCTTTTTCCCAGGCTGAAAGACCTACAACCCCCAGATACAGAACACAACTAACTAAAAGGATTACATCAAATTTTGCAAAAGCCATCATACTTACACTGTCATTGCTTCCTTTGTTGTCCTCGTATTTTGTCTCTATATGAATGGAGAATTTAGGCAAAAATGAACACTGCAACAAAAGAAAAATATGTTTGATGTAAAAAACATGCCTTGCTTCATCAGCTAATGTTCAATACATCCTGCTTGGTATTAGCTTTCTTACTTTTTTCAGATTACTTCAAGAAAAAGAGTAAATGTACACAGAATATAAGAGCAAAGGTTTTCATGATTCTGCAGGGATGTAGAGATACTGTCTAAAAGCTGAATACTTTAATGAGGGTATAAATAAATTAGTATAAGTACTGTGGAATAATTAGACACAATAGTTTTCATGCATAAGAGTACAAATATCCTGAATGTCTTGTTATAAATTCATTTCACTAAAATCTCAAGAGCAACTAGATACTCATCATCATAGATTAGTCTATCCCCCATATAAAATAATCCAAGGACATTTCACTAGCTGCAGGTGCTAACCAAATAGACAACAATACTTTGATGTGTGAGCGCTTTTTTTAATTTTCAGTGAGAAATGAATTCTATTATAATTTCCTATTAACGAAATTAAGATGGATTATGAGCTGCTGTGGAAATTCCTTTATACTAAACCCAAACCAATCTTTAGATAATAATGCAAGAAAATTAGAAATGCACAAATGTTTTTCTATTAAAGATAATATTTCTGTATTTTACATGGGAATAAATTTATTTTTCTGTGGATTGTTAGTTTAGTTGGCTAATCAAGACTAGAATTTATAATACTTGGCAACCTAATTCCAGTGGGAAAAAATATTTCAAATATCTTTTCTTTAGCATTTCACAGTTGTTCTTTCAAATCAGCTTTTCAGATAGGCAGAGTAGATGTCTAGCAACCTCTGAAGGATACTAGTTCAGCACCTTTACTATTAGTTATCAAGTCTGGTCTTGCACTAACTGCCAGTGAAACCGAAGTGCCACTTCCTTGTATGATGCATCACTAATACCCGATGGCAAAATGTCTTTGTAAAGACTAGTTCATGTGCTGTACATACAGATTATACAACGAGGACATTATGATGCCTCAGTGTTCACATTGCTGTGGGTCCAAGTTTGGGCTTGATAAAATTTAAGAGTTTTTCTAAGGGAGAGGCTGATGACTAAGAAAAGAGGTGATTTAGAAGGCCAGTTGTAGTACAACAAAATTGCCATGAGAAGCCAGGTTCTTTGAGACTACAGAAAAGATATTCCTGATTCCATGGGTATCACCCAACAAGTCACTGTTCAATCTTCTTGTGATCACAGGATATCTAGTATTCAATGAGCACATCTAGAATCAATCCTTGTTGAAAAAAGAGTGAGAGAGTTTTGCCAGAACAAGGTTCTGGTGCCATGGAAGGCTTCTGGTCAAACTGTTTTCTTAACATAATGAAATACTGCCCAGTAACATGTTGGTGCTGCAGATGCCCAGACTGCACAGGCTTCTCTTCCCATCTTATAAATGTTTTGCCTTTTATTAAAGATTTCTGTGGAGTAGCACATTTATGAGTTTCAATCCAATCTGAACTGTGACTAGCTCTCAGCTATGTAATTTGGTCATTGAGTGAATACGTGGGAGGCAAAAAAAAAAAAAATCCACTGTATGCGGAGTGCAGGATGGGGCAAGTTCCATGACAAATCTGCTAGCTCCTATTACCCATATTTTGTGGGCAATTAAACGTTTCCTATGTATACATCTCAGGAAGTGCCAATTGAAAATATACAATATTTATAAGCAGTCTGTCAGAACTGGGGATCTTGTAACGCAAATTAACACAAAAAAAATCCAGATATTCTCCCAATTGAGGTTTCACCATGTATCTCAGTATGTTGCTTCTATTCTGGCAGACATCCAAAGGCAAACAAAAGTGTTAGCAAACAGTAGGCACTACAGGGAAAGACGTTTAAAAAAAAAAAAAGCCAAGGTTTGTCGTAAGGTTCTAATTTGTATCCCCAAATTAACCAAAAGGTGGAATGAACATCCTTGAACTATATTACCTGGAAGAAGAGGTGAATAAAAGGCCTTGATTAAAAGAATTCTATAATCAAATGTTTCTAGAGTAAGAAAAGTTATAAATGTGATGTTACGAAAAAACAGGGAATGACCCAGGAAACACAGGGATGCCTGCCTGTCCGAAAACGATGTTTGATGTCACTCAGAGGATTTGTTTTCAAATGGCATAAACCAACATACTAGTTGTTCTCCGTGTTTGCAGGAGAACATGGATGGTTGAAAAGTAAATTGCTACTGGAGGTGGATTATGAAAAGCAGATTTAAAAAAAAAAAAGTATAACCTAACGACAGGCATCTTCTACTGCACAGTTTTTAGAGCATTTGGAAAATAACTACATAGGTGCTAGGGTGGTAAAAACATGGGTTATTGATCTCAAAAATGTAGTATTTTACAAAATACTGCTGTGTATTTTACAAAGGTATATAACTACAGGGGTCACAGTCCAGGTGTACAGAGCTCTTGCTGCCAACAACCTAGACCTCTGCCTATGGGCATCCTGTGGGAAAGCATCCTGGAGGAAATGAGAGGAGACTGCCAATGACTGTTTTGTTTTATCAGCAGTTGCTGGTACTGCTCAGTGAATGCAGTAACTGGTACTGCACTACTGAAGACTCAAGACTTAGGTCTGAATAACAGCTTTTGGAAACATTGTCACTGAAAATGGTAGAGATGTATCCCATATTATTTATGATCTACTAATTGTTTAGAACAGTTATTAGGAAAACAGAGTTTACTGGCATCCTGTCTGTGTATTTCAAGGTTACTGCTCTAGGTCATGTTTTACTTACATGTTAGTGTGTGTGTGTGTGTGTGTGTTAAGTATCTGACCTCTTGATTTGAGGACCAAAATTTAATTCTCTTTGCTACACAATTAAGCACAATCAACACCCCCGAAATAAAATCTAGTAATTGATAAAAACAAAAACCATTGAATGACTTCAATGATCTATCACTACGGGAAGGGTCATCAAGACTATGATGCTTGAGCAGATTGAGTATCTAGGCCAGAGCTTTGTGACTTTGCAAACTTTTGAGTAATACAGTCCGAGTCTAGGGGTTTACTGGAAACCTCAGTGGGTATGGAAGCTGCTCTGACTATGCTGACCTTAACAGCTCTGGGCAGTGCAGTTCTCTCAGCTCTTTTAAGAGGTAGCAGGATCCACCACAGGACTTGGTGCTGTTCTCATGGTCCCATTGTCAGAAAACTCCATTGACAGAAGGAGCTTCAGTACAGCATCGTTCACATTTACAGCTAATACAAAGCAAACACTCTTAACAAAGCAGTTCCTCATACCTGGTTCTGATTGAAGTATCTTTGCTTGTGATCTAAGTATCGAAATTCAGGAGTTGTTGGATGGAGTACAGTTTTCAATACTCAAAAACATTTTTCTTTATCAAAATAGTTCCTTTCAGGTCACAGTTCCAGATACAGTGGAGGATAAAAATCCAAAATATGAAAAAACTTTGCGCTGTTGATCTGAAGCACAGCTACAGTTTTAGAGGAAATTTTTAATAAAGCCAAATGCCAGATTTCCCTTTTACCTTGCTATCAGAAAATATCTACTATTTTCAGCCACTGTCTAGAGTCTGCCAGCAATGAGTCAGATCACGATACTTTGAAATGCAGCCATTTCATGTATTGAACTTGAGGCTGCACTAGGCTGCCTGTACCAGTTCAGCAAGCCATTGCTTGAATCTAGTCGTTGTTTTCTGTGACCTGGAATATAAACTCTAATTTAAAAAACAGAACTTCTAGTCTTGTATTTAAAAAAAAAAAAAAAAAGAAATATTAAGAAAAGACTAAGGATTTTCAGAGTATTATAGAAGAATAATTGTAAGTGCCATTTACCTCAAGCCACCTCATTAGAGAGCAGAAAGTAATTTTCTGCACAAAGCTAACAAAAGTCAACCTGTATTTAGTATAAAGGAGAGGACCATAACAATCTAATTTGAGGTTATAAATGGTAATATGAATTTACCCCAAATGAAAACTAAAAATTACCAAAAAGTACTCCATTGCAAATATATCTGTCCGGAATGCAACCAACTGGCAACCACTGCTCTAGCAGCTGTGGGGGGTCTCACTGGCTTTCAGGAACACTTAGCGGGGTCCAAATTTTTGAACATTTCACAGAATGTGTCTCATGATTCATCAGCTGCACTCTGACTAATTGGCAGAGGGCTCTGGCAGAACCAGAAAACTGTTTATGCATCATTCAAAAGACTATTATTCATCATGAAAAAGTTGTTGGTTTTTTTCCCCCTCCTTAAAGTGGCTGCATATTTACTTAGCCAGGGATTAAGAGTGTTATGCAACAGTCAGAATCAAGCTTGGGAGTGAATGGTAGGTAATAAACCCCTGAGTAGATGTGTTTTGTTTTGTTTTGTTTTTTCTCAAAGCACCACTCCCTTTCTGCTCTGCCTCCCCCAGGGTGTGTGTTCTTCCAGCACAAACCTGGCAGCATCCATACACTGAGCACGCACAGGAATGCACAGGGCACTGTTTCCGATTTTCCAGTTCACTATCTCTACAGCTTGTAAGGTTCCTCTTCGAAAATAAAAGTGGCAAATTGAATCTTTAACTTGAAATTAGACTTAAATTCTACATAATAGGGTAAAACCTTCAGAGTCCTAGTGTCTTCAATGATAAGGTTTCTTTGTGTGAAGCTCTCAAAGGAGGCATCTTTTATATTGTCACCTCCAGATTTTTTTAGATGTGTTATAAACTCCTTAAAAATTTGTTATAATCCGGTACACTTATGACACTCAAAAACAAACAGGGAGAATATTCTGGGGGGTTGTTTGTTTAAACTTTCTCTATTTGGCACCCCCTTTGGAGGAACCAGGAGAGGTTTAAAGCTCGAGAGAGTAACCAGCGAAATAACCAGAGTCTGCAATAGTAATTACCACACATAAGCATGGGTATTTCCAGATTAAAATAAAGTTAAATGAAAGCAGCATACGGAAAACACAGACTGCAGTTGCATTTTCAATTCACTACAGATAACCTCTTGAAAAATGAAAGGCCTATTTTTAGCAT